CTGCCTTGTGCATCATAGATATTTAGTAGCACCCTCTACTTACTAGAGCCCTCTACTTTAGACTAGAGGCTAGTAGCACCCTCCCAGGTTGTGACGACAACCAAAACTGTCTCTACCCAATGCCAACTATTTACTGTGGGTCAGTTTTTCCTGGTTGAAAGCCTAAGGCAATGGTTCTCAAATGGAAAGGTACATCAGAATCAGCTTTGGAACTCAAGCCCCATGATACAGATTCTAAGTCAATAGATCTGGAGTGGCCTAGACATTTGTATCAGAATCTTCAGGATGTAGGGCTTAAGCATGTAAGTTTTTAAAAGACTTCAGAGCTAGTCTTTTAATGTCTAGTTAAGAATGATTATGCCAAGAAGCACTTTCAACATAAACTTTCTGATATTAGTAAACTGGAATGAATGCAATTTGGTGATGTTTCACTGACCTCTATATGAATTTATTTTATTCCAAACAATGGAAACTTCTAGTCATGTAGATGAGGTTCATACTTACTTGCTAGAAGCAGACAGGAAAGTGCAACTAAATGCAGCTGCTGGATGGAGATGTCATACCGATCCATAAATAAGTCCAGCAAATAGACAGCCAGATGTCGGGCAGAAGGGCAGAGAGTGAAGCGATTGCTCACAATGGCAATCAGGTCAGCAAAATACCTTCTGAGACTTAGTTGAGGGGACTGGCCTTTGTAGGAAGGCAACTTCAGCTCCTAAATCAAGAGGAACAACATTTAGTGTAACATGGCCTGTAGGAGTAGTATCCCTACGATGCAAAGACAACTTTTGCCCCCAATATATTAGTGTTATAAGTGCCTAAAACACTTCTTGAAGGAAATACAAATTTGAAAAAGTTTAATGCCATAATGAATGGCATTTAAAATTTAAAACCAAACTTTTCTTCTTATTTTTAAACATCTGTGAGGTGAGAAGTTATAGGTGTTTCATGCATTAATTATAGAAGGGATATATTCCAGCAAGATTTTTGTATCCTTTTTTCCCTACCACGTGTTTTTAGAAAAACACTGCTACCAAAAACCCAGCCACACCACACATATACACCCCCTTTAGGAGGCTCAAAGCTTTGGGGTAGAAGGTAACAGGTAGTGAATATGCTCCTAGTAGGTCAAATACTATTACACTTGCAGAGACGTGGAAGGTAGAGACTAGTATTCATCCACTAGGATCTTCTAAGCATGCTTCCATTTGAGCAGTTTTATCTCTCATTTGCCATTACCTTTTCATATACCTAAAATTTTTCCCATCATTGCTGTTCAATCTCAGAATTACATGAACCATTTTTCGAAAATTAGAAATTTTCTATACTATTAAAGTATTTCCAGAACATACAGAAAGCAGAAAGATAAAAAGGTTCTAAATTCATTTCATGAGATCAGCATAATACTAATATTAAACCTAATAGGTATCACAATAGCAGGAAATTACATAGATGTGACCTCAAAACCACAGGCAAAAAAAAAAAAAGATCAATTAAACTTCATCAAAATTTAAAAATTTTGTGCAAAGTTCACTCTTTTCAACAGAGTGAACAGGCAATCCACAGAATGGAAGAAAATATTTGCAAATCATATATCTGGTAAAAGGTTAATATGCAGATTATATAAAGAACTTTTATACATGCAATCCAACAACAAAGAACTTGCTTAAAGATGGGCAAAAGGTTTAATAAACATTTCTCCAAAGATATATAAATGACCAATAAACACATATAAAGATGCTCAACATTATTAATCATTAGGGAAATGCAAATCAAAACTATTACGAGATACCACTTCAGACCCACTGGGATTGCTATTATCAAAAAAATCCAAAACAGAACACAAGTGGTGACAAGAATGTGAGAAATTGGAACCCATTTGGAATGGTGGGAATATAAAATTGTACAGCCACTGAATAACGATATTACAATTCCTCAAAAAAATTAAACATAGAATTATTATATGATCCAGCAATTCCACTTTTAGGTATACACCAAAAAGAACTGAAAGTAGGGACTCACATATTTGTACCTCTCTATTGTTAGCAGCATTATTCACAAAAGCCAAAAGGTAGAAACAAACAACCTTTCAGTATATGAATTGATAAAATGCATTTTAGTTTAAGATGAAAAAGTTCTACAGATGTAGAGGTAAAAGTAACACAATGTAAATATACCTAATGTCACTGAACTATCCACTTAAAAATAGTTAAAATTTTATGTTGTAAAAACTTTACAATAAACAAACACCAAAAATGGAACTTACATATCTGCCTAACCAATAAGAGCTAAAATTGTAGACAAAATGTTAGCCAATGTAATTTAGTACTATATCCAAAGAATACATCATCATCAATTGTAGTACACTCCAGGAATGCAAAGATGGCTTGATATCAGGAAATCTATTAATATATATATATATTATAGTCTAATAAATCAAAGATTATTAGAATATAATACAGTAATCACAAGTTATTACAGAACAGAGAGACAGAAGATCTAACCCAGCTCAGGAGATGGAGTGCTGGGAAAAAACAAAGCCAGGGGAGGCTTTCTTTAAAAGAGGCTTGAACAGGTCTTAAAGACTCACTGGGAAACACAGCTGGAAAACACTTTATTTGGTGGAGTTTATTTTTCACTATGTTAACTTATTAAATGTGGATAAAACAAAGGCAAGAACACCAAGGACCAAGAGATTTTTAAGAGTGTGTCTAATACATTCTCTTTATATCATTTTAAATGGTAAACTACAAGTGCTTACCAGATGGCTGTCAGATTCAGTTTTCTTCATCCAGATACTACAGTTATGTAAGCATGAAAAAACGACCTATGCTTCTCTCAGCTTACAAGTTTTTTTATAATGTCTATTCCTGATACTCTAGAATTTTACACTCTTGTTCCCGTCTGCTTCTCAGGATCTCACGGGACCAAAGCACAGAGACCTGAGCAGGTCGTCTCCATCTCCAGTCTCAAGTACTAGTCCATTCATCATCCTAAATGCCATCCCTTTCTCAGAACGGGCTACTGTCCAGCCAAGATGGAAATAAAGGCATAGAAACAGTACTCACAACTGTAAATACAACTCTGTGGGATATTTTTGGAGTGTTTTTCACAAGCTAGCATTGTTCCCATCTGTCATAGACACTCCTGAAAATACTTCCCAGCCATCCTAGGATTTTAGTATACATAGCATAACAATATGAGAAGGTAACAATACGAGAAGTGTAAGAAGACAGCTGCTTTATAGGGTTTTTTGGGGGAAGTGGAGGAGAAAATAGTTATATTTTACAAAAAATCAGAACAGCTGCATTTGGGGTTGAAGGGAATTTCCATTTGCTGTAATTTTTACCCTTCCCTAGTAGATGCAATGCTGCTGGTCAAAGCAACGATTACTCCACACACCTTGGATCTAAACAGATAATTCCTTCCATTGTGTCTAAATGGCAATTGTGCAAAGGAAGAGCTAAATTGAGATGCTGAGTTATTTGAGATTAGACCTCACACAGGCAGAGACATGTCTGTCTCATCCACTATTACCATTCTAACACCTGGCATAGTACCTTGTATATTGCAGGTATTCATATATGTTGAATAAATAAATAAGCATGACTATCCAACTAAATCACTAAATTAATAATCTGGAATTAATTTTTTTATAAGAAAAGTTCATTTTAACTTTTCTTGACTTCGGTATACTACAAACAGGGGTCTCTCCAGTTCCACAAGATTCAAGTTTTACCAATAAACATATTTACCGATTAATAAATTTTTCACAAAGTGTGACTATTGTTGTCAATTGTGGCTTACACAGGGCTTAAAGATAAAATAAGACAACCCAGGGTAGCACGCCACAGGTGACCCAAGGTAACTTTCAGTGGCATTCCCTCAGGCCCCACGCTCCAATAGTTCGATAGTTCATAAGCAATTTTAGTACAGGCTTGTGTCTTATTCCTTTGATCCTCCTTAGAGCCTAATACACAAAGTATTTAACAAACGTGCTGGAAAAAATCCACTTGCAACCTCAACTGACAAAATTAACTCAATGTCATCACTCGGATTAAAATTACACATAATTTCCATACCATGGAAATCTTTTAAGGAAAATCTTTTGAGTTTTATGTCACTAAAAAAATAAAAGTATCATTAACATCAAAGAATTAATTTCACCACATACCAGAGGCATAAAGGGCTGACATTTAGAAAAGGAGAACATTTAAAACTAAAAGACCAAGGGCGCCTAGGTGGCTCAGTTGGTTAGGCGTCTCTTTGGTTTTGGCTCAGGTCATGATCTCACGGTTGGTGAGTTCAAGCCCCGAGTTAGGCTCTGTGCTGACAGCTCAGAGCCTGGAGCCTGCTTCGGATTCTGTGTCTCCTTCCCTCTCTGCCCCTCCCCCACTTGTACTCGGTCTGTCTCTCAGAATTGAATAAACGTAAAAAAAAAAATCTCTAACCTTAGAAACAGGTACAGTTGTAACAATTTAAGTCGGAATTAGGTTTTCTAATGTAGTTAACCTGGTTTAAAAAAAAACAAAAAACTGACGATACAAGTTCATTATCATCCCAGGAACTTTAACTCCAACAGTCAGTAACCCTTTTATTTTTTTAAATGCTTATTTATTTTTGAGAGAGAGAAAGAATGCACAAGTGGGGGAGGGCCAGATAGAGTGAGATACACAAAATGTGAAACCGGCTCCAGGCTCTGAGCTGTCAGCACAGAATCTGAGGCGGGGCTTGAACCCATGAACTGTGAGATCACGACCTGAGGCCAAAGTCCGAGGCTTAACCCACTGAGCCACCCAGGTGCCCCATAGTATCCCTTTTATTAAAGAGGCAGTTGTTTTGCTTCTTTCTCATTTTCTGTACATAATAAACGGCCCTCTCCATCCAGGGTGAAACTGAGTTAAGTTAGGGACAGTTTTGATGTGGTCTCTCTTCTGGTTATCAAAGAGGCAGAGATGACCCGTTAAACTGAGATGTGACATAAGAGCAAAATTGTTAAGAACAATACACAGACTTTGCATTGTGCCAGAAAATTGCACCGAACCCCCCACCCCCCCAATATGTATTAAAGTCTACTTTCTGCTTTTAGTTAGCTGGAAGGAGCAGCTAACTCCTACCTTAAGGCATTTTGAACAGCCCCCAAATCTGGGGCGGGGGGGGGGTGTCTCAGGGAAAAATAACAACAGTCACCTCTTTCTTAGGGCTTACTATGCCCGAAGCACTGTTGTAAAGCACATGCACAATAACAACTCATTTAATCTTCACAATCTCCCCACAAGCCTCATTGTATTATTATTCATTTTACAGATGAGGAAATTGGGAAAGAGAAAATTAAGTAACTTGTCCGAAGTCTTATAGCAGGCAGGTTAGTGGACAGGCTGGGGAATTTATGTACAGATGTGACCTAACAGCGGAACGCAACAGCAACTACAGAACGAGGGCTACTCCGCCCAATAAAAGCCAGCACACACATCTGTTTAAAAACAGTATCAAATTCATGTTCCACTTTCCCTCTCCCAAATACCACGCTCCACCCTCACTTAAGTTACAGGTTCTTCTGATACACCCCAGGGAAGAAACCCAGGAGTTAATTAACCTCGAGCAAATAAGCAAACTCGCCTTTTCTGGTCTGGAAACTAGTGACCGGACTTCCCAGGGAGCCGCGATTTATACTAACTGGCACAAAACACTGAATGGAAAAATCGGGCACCGAAATTACCTTGTATCGAAGCGCTTGATGAATGTCGGCGGCCAGCTGTCCCCGCCACCACTGCCCCTCCAGCTCCATGGGACCCGGCGACGCGCCTGGCCAGACGCGGCAACTTCAGTCTGTAAGACACACCCCAGACGCGGTCAAGGCCGGCTCCTTCCACACGACCCTCAGCGTCCCCTCCCCGAGGGGTGTGACCTCAAGCCACCCTGGGTGGCTGCTCCTCTTCACCGGACTCGACCTAAAGCCAGCACCGATCCAAACCAATTCCCCGACGCCGCGCGTAAGGCCCGAGCTACCCAGTCAGGAGGAGCGGGCTCGCGCTGAGAACTGCCGGCCTGGGTGCCGGGCAAAGGGGACCAACTTGGAGTTCCCAAGGCGCGGCCCGGGGTGCGCGCAAGGGAAGCTGGAGGCGGAGGCCTGACTGGGGGCTCCCCGCGTCCCGGGTTCGAATTCTCGCGCCGGCCCCGGGCAGCGGAGAGATTGACGGGCGAAAACCTCCCGCGGATAAACCAGCAGACGAATACCCGCCCGGCCCCGGGTCCCAGCGGCAGCCGCTCGGGCACTCGTTCCCCCCTGGGGGACCTCCCCGCGGCCCCCGCCGGGCCCGGCACGCACCCAGGCCGCCTCCACCTCGTCCAGAGCAGCGCACGGGATCGCGCGGCCCCAGAAAGGCGAACAAAAGGCCGGGCCGGCCGGGCGGGTCCGGTGCCCCGCGCCCAGCACAGGCCTGCCGGTCCCCACGGCGGCCTCCCTTACCCGGAACCGCGGCCCTCACAGCCCCAGCCCCGCCGGCGTGCGGGGGACGCCGGCCCCGCTCATGATGCGGACAGTCGGCCGCAAAGCGCCGGCCTCAGCTCGGGCCCAGCGCCGGGGCGCTCGCGCCGCCCATTGTTAAAGAACCGGCAGGCGGCTCGGCGTACAAAGCCAGCGCGGGGGCACATGCGGCCCCGCCGCTGCCAATCTCGTCTCGCGATACAGCCGGGTCACGCCGAGCCGTCCAATCGGCGGCCGGGCCGGGTCCAGGTGCAGCGTCTGGCTGCGGCTCGGAGGCCCCAGCCGGGACCCGGCGGCGTCAACCCCCGCCGGCCCGGCGCGACCCGGTGCTTGGAGCTGCCCGGCAGCTCCACCACCACCTACCGTGAGGCCCGCCCGAGCGGCGGGCAGAAGGCGCCGGAGAAATTACAAAGTTCATCCTCGTTCCGGTAGTCAATTTGGTCATGCCACTCACCTGCTAAGAACCTTCAATGGCTCCCGATGCCCGCGGAGGAAAGTTCGGAAGCTTCAGCTTGGCGTTTTAAAACTCATTGCAATGTGGATTCAAACTGTTTTATCTCACATCATAACAGCCCCGTTTTACATCCTAGGATCTGCTCAGTGGCATTACCAATCCCCCCCCCCACCACCACCACGCCCCGTAAATGTTTTTGGCCGTTGCCGAAGCACCTAAAGCGTTTTCTCTGTGAGATTCTGCTGTCTCTTTAAGTTCCACCTCGAGACCCACTCCTTCCAGAAACCTAATTGACCTTCCCCCCTCATTTCCTTTGCTTTAGAGATTCCCGACAGCTTTGAATAAAGTTGAGCTTACCTTTAGTAACCTAGTTTGTCAGATTGAAAATGGACGTAAATAATCATCTATGGTCTTAAATCCGGAAACTACAAAACTGTGGAAACACTCCAAAACCAAGTAAGGTGATGTGGGACCTGAAATATGATTCGCAGAAATCTAATCAATTGTATTTTAACCTTTTTGGTAGACTATCACAACAAAAGTGCATGGTCAACCCAGGACAGTGATGCTCACTTTTCTGAGAATGCAGAGCAACCTCTTTTAATATTAAAAAAATAAATCATGGAAGCTTCCCCCTTTTACTTTGAATTCTTTGTCCCCAAAGATGCATGATAAAGAGATACTATAAAGTGATGAATGTATGTTATATAAATCAGTTTTACTTATCACACTGACATCTTGATAAATTTGAAGAACAGCCGCAGATATGTATATGAACCATGTGAGACCACGCTCATGCCCAGAAGAGAGCTACAGGAAGTAATGGCAAGACAAGGAAAACCCAGAAGCAGAGATGGGCAGAACCCAGCCCAGCGCAGCATTGTCCAGGGAGAGGCTGCCCCAGCCTATCTCAGTTGCAGGGTTTCCCTGGAGAGGAGAGGAACACATCAGGCTAAGAGCTCCATCCCATTTATAATGCTGTTTAAATAGTACCTACCTCCTCAGGTTCTAATTCATGTGCACTAAGCAACTTTATGACAATAATTTGGCATCCCAGTAACTTAAATGTGCAGGGTCTATTTAAGAACCTTTTCAGAAAAATAGGTCACAGACTGTAAATCATCAGTGTAATAAGTAGGTTGTCTCTCGTGGTTTCTACTTTAAGGATGTTATTCACTGGGAGGTATTTGTTCACAAACAGTTTTCATATTTTCTGGATTTGCCTCCTATGATGAAAGGACCTTAATGTTCATGCATTTTATAGATTTGTGTGCGTGAGTGTGTTTGTCTATATATACATATATAACTTAGATTATAACTCCCTAAAGTGTAAATTCAGGTTTATTACGATTTCTTCATTAATTCCTTTGGGGCAAGCTGGACACAATTAGGTATGTACTTAATTCCGAAATAAAGTCTGGTTTTCATACATACAGTTTATTTTCTAAAGGGGAAAGAGAAACACAGTAAGTGAGCAACAACAAAACACCACGTGGTGACAAGTTCTGTGAAGAAAAAGAAATAGAAATAGAGACTAGAAAGTGACAGTGACTGGACATTGTTTTTTGATAAGGTGAGGTGTGCAAAGGCCTGAGGGAAGCAAGGGAACGTGAGGGTATCTGGTGGCTGAGGGTTGCAGGTAAAGGGAACAGCAAATTCAAAGGCCCTAAGGAGAAGGCACGTTTGGAATGAACATGGAGGTCCTTGTATGCTTGGAGTGAAGAAATAGGAAAGACTTGGAAGTCTTGGAAGCAGCAGCCAGGAATGGTATGAAAGGATGGAAGTAAAAAAAAAAAAAAAAAAAAAAAAAAAAAAAAAAAAAAAAAAAAAAAAAAAAAAAAGAGGCAGAACTTCTACAGAGTGAGCAGAGTGAGGAAATTTGCAAAGGGTCCAGCCTGCCTGCTGCCTAAGGCACAAAATGGATTATGCAAAGATGAGGATAGGACCAGATTCTCTGCAATGCTTTTATAACTCAGGAACTTGAGGCAGTAAAAGGCCACTGATGTTAAATTGTTTAATTTTTTTTTAAATGGATGCATGCAAAAGGTAAAACATTCAAACAGAAGACTGTATGGAGGGACTAGCAAATCTCCCTCTCTCCCCTAATCTCAGTTCTTCCTAGAGGCAACATTAACTCTATTTTGTTTTGTACCCTTCCAGAAATAGCCAAGTACTTCTAACCATGCATATACATAATGCATGCTCCATTTTGTGCACACATCATCACACTTTATGCCCTCTGTTGTGTACCTACCTAGCTTTGTCACACAATATATTCTGGTGAACATTCAGTAATAGAACATCCAGGATTCCTTTCAGTGGCTCCATTGGATTCCACTGACACAAAGGACTGGACGCCCTAAGACTTGGGCTCTGGTTCCTGGTTCTTGATTTATTGCTCCCTAGTGGAGTGCTGGTAATTTGTCTCCTCTGAGACTCATGTTCCTATCTATAAAGTGAACTTCTCTCTCTCTCAAAAATACAAGAACTTAAAAAAATGTTTAAAACAGGTTCCTGGGTGGCTCAGTATGTTGAATGTCTGACTTCGGCTCAGGTGGTGATCTCACAGTTCCTGAGTTCTAGCCCTACATCGGGCTCTCTGCTGTCAGTGTGGAGCCCACTCGGATCCTCTGTCCCCCTATCTCTCTCTCCCTTTCTCTCTCTCTCTCTTCCTCTCTCAAAAATAAATATAGTGAACTAGACGATGACTGAGATTGCTTCTGACTTTAACATTTTAGGTTCTTTGTTCTTGCTACACACATGTGACAGTCTTCTGTAAGGAAAGAGGCCCAACACTCTTTATAAAGCTCTGTTCATTGTCCAGTTTTAAAGGTTTTATTTTTTTGTTTATTTTTGAGAGAGAGAGAGAGAGAGAGCACGAGTGGGGAAGGGGCAGAAAGAGAGGAAGACAGAATCTGAAGCGGGCTCCAGGCTCTGGGCTGTCAGCACAGAGCCCAACACAGGGCTCGAACTCATGAACCGTGAGATCATGACCTGAGTCGAAGTTGGACACTTAACCGGCTGAGCCGCCCAGGTGTCCCAGTTTGAAAGGTTTTAAATTGAAAATGTATCCTGGCAATTCGTGTATGTACACCAATTAAGAAGTCCAATATTTCTAAAAGGCATATAATGGAGAGCAACCATTCCCTGTAGCACTCCCTCCCCACTCCCAAGTCCTACTCCAAAAGGTAACCACTTTGATCTCTTTTAGCTATTTCTCACGGTGTTTGCTATCATCTTTCAAAATGGCATGCTTATATTATGATTTCAATTTGTCATTTTAAAATACATTTGTATACTGTCCTGGCTAATGAAAAATTAGATGCTCTGTATTACCTTTCACACACACATTTCCCCCTTCCTTCATCTCCCCAATATATAATTTTAACACATTTTTGGTTACATCCATTTTCAGTTGTTTTCATTGTCATGACTACACATTGTTCACTGTGCAGCCACATGGTCTCCTATAATCATACTTTCCTTTTTGTTTTCCTAGATGCTTTTTCTTTGCTTTCTTCAAGTCTGTGTCTTAAGTTTGCTACATCCTCCAATAGCTCTGTAAAATGTCTCCATTCAGCTTTCGAAACAGTCAAGCCTATCAGATAATCTATTGGTTTTATCTTTCCACTTGTGATTGATTCCCCTGGATCCATCTAATGCTGACACTCTAGCTCCAATATTGATGGATTCTCTCTAGAGCTGATGGCTGCCTATCCTGGGTTAGATTCCTATTCCCAGGATCACATGTCTTTCTTTTCTTTGACTTACATATCCCAACAGCTTTCTGAGAAAGGGTGTCTGGGAGGCAAATCTTTGAGACCTGGTATATCTGAAAGTATCCTTA